CTCTCTGTTCCTCCTCCTCCCTCCTCTTTCCTCCTGTCTCCTCCTCTCCTCCTCTTCTCTCCTCCTCTCCTCGTCCCCTCCTTCCCTCTTCTCTCCTCCTCTCTCCTCTGTTCTCCTCCTCCTCCTCCCTCCTGTCTCCCTCCCCGGCTTGTTCTCTCCCTTCGCTACAAGAGACGATCTTGCAGGGAAGTAATTAAGTAGATCGACTGCTTCCGTATCCCTTAGCGAAAAAGGCAGGTGTTGAAGGATTTAGAAAAAAAAAAAACCCTCCGGGGGGATTAACAAGCAAGTGAATTAGGTAAGCGACCGCAACAACTTCCCTCCTCTCTCTCTCTCTCTCTCTCTCTCTCGTTAATGGCAAAAAAAATGGTGTTGGCCTTTTTTTTTTTTTTTTTTTTTTGGCTTCCATACCGTAGTTTGTCAAAAAAATCTGGTTGATGTAAAAGAAATAAACGGGTGAAAAAAAAGAAGTGAATGTCGAATGTAGAACAGGAGAAGATTAGTACTAGCCTACTAGGTTATATTATGTAGAATTATAACGAGAGAGAAAAAAAGTAGTAGTGAAGTGATTATGTATGGACGTGTGTGCACATTGTCACGAGCAGTCCCAAGGCGAAGAAAACATTTTTCGACAAGATTCACGTACCTTTTTTTTTTTTTTTTTTTTTAGGAGCGACGGCCTTGAGATATAATCACGGAGGTGACCGGCCCCAGGCAATTCAGAAATATGTGGGATATCATCATGGAGCTGACCGGCCCCTGGTAATTCAGAAATATTTGGTTTCACTCATCAATCAAGTTTTATCAGATGGATTCGAACTCGGGTATGGTCTGTAATTTCAACAGGTCATGGGTGTACCCACTGAGCTAGGCTCTTGGGGTGGCTTGTACCTTTTTTTTTTTTTTTCCGTTCCCCTAAAAAAAAAAAAAAAAGGGACCATTTCTCGATTCATGCGTGCCATCCTTGAATGTGTACAGGGGCCATTTGCTAATCTTGTCTAAGTTCTCTGTATCGTTCCAATTTTAACGGATGTCCCGAAGGACACTCGTACGTATGTCAATTTCATGCGAAAACAAAAATCTGTGTCAATTGCCTTTCCCAGAGGGCGGTTTGGCTGCCGCATTCATGCGAGGGACGCCGGGCCCGGTTCCCGGTTTTGTCATGGGAAGTTGCTTTCATTGAAAAAAGAACGAAAAAAAAAGAAAAAAGAAAAAAAAAAAGAAGTCTGATTTAACCAGCTGGGCTACCGTAGCTCAGTTGGTACACCCCTGAATTTTGAAATATGAATCAGACCCAAGTTCGAATCCAGATACAATCAGATGACCAGAATAAAATCATTTTTTCTGAATTACCTGGGGCCGGGGGTTCATTCAATGATGATATCTCAAGGCCGTCACCCTTTTTCTAAAATAAATAAATAAATAAATAAATCTGAGTCGAACAATATGTGCCCGGCAGACTGCTGATGAATCGGGCCTTCACGATTTGTGGATATGTTGAAACTCTGACGAAACAGTTTGTCACAGCCCCTCGTTTGTTGTCCTCTTCTCCCTCTCTGCCTACGGTTTACCGGGCAGTTCTATTTGACGATATAGATGAGTCGGTGAAACTCCGACGAAACAGTTTGTCACAGCCCCTCGTTTGTTGTCCTCTTCTCTCTCTCTGCCTACGGTTTACCGGGCAG